AGACATTAAGGCACTAAAAACTACACAGATTAGACTATTGTTAAAGGAATAGAAAAGAGCTGGAAGGGACCTTGGAGGTCTTCTAGTCCAACCCCCCGCTCAAGCAGGAGAACCTATGCCATCTCAAGACAAGTAACTGTCTAGCCTCTTCTTAAAAATTTCCAGTGATGGAGCACCCACGATTTCTAGAGGCAACTTCTGTTCCATTGGTTAATTGTCCTGTCAGGAAGTTTCCAACCATTGTTTGGTGTCTTGCCTTCTGGTCCTTTGGTGAACAAGTGACCCCCTTGTCAGAATCCAAATATACTCCATATCTAGTTATCAACCATGAAAACCCGCATTTCTGTCTGCTCTGGATTCTGTCATACGATGAAGGGGGTGAACAAAGGGGCTTTATGGCCCTCACTTCCTTCAGCCTACTTCAAAGGGACTGGATGTGGTTATCACCAAATGGACTAACAATAACAATGGGGGTCATTAGCTTTCATGTAATCCTTTTTGTAGTTCCTCCCGGCAATGAGGAAAAGGGGGTGAGAATGTGATGCCTAGAATTGTCGCTGGGAAAAGGGGGTTATGGGGGTGTGACTAATGGGGGATCCCTTAAAACCTTGAAGTGGAGAGCTCGAACCCAAGTCCTGTCTAGAACGCCTACATCCAGCTTTCTCTTAATAAAGATGCCTGTTGGAAGAAATATTCCAGGAGTTCTGTCTTCTTAAGATGCAAAGTGGGGTGGGTCCTTACACCCCTCTTCTATGTGGCAGCCCCTCAAATACTGGAATGCTGGAATGCTGCTATCATGTCTCCCCCGTTTCTTCTTTTCTTTAGACTGGCCAAACCCAAGTCCCGCAGCCGTTCTTTGTATGTTTTAGTCTCTAGGCCTTGGGTCTTCTTAGTTGCTCTTCTCCGAATTTTCTCCAAACTCTCAACATTGTTTATGTGATATCGTGACCAAAATTGGCTGCAGCGTTCCAGGTGTGGTCTTACTAAGGTTTTATAAAGTGGTACTAATACTTCATGTGATCTTGATTCTATGCCTCTGTTTATACAACCCAGGACTGTTAGCTTTTTTGGCTGCTGCTGCACACTGCTGGCTCATGGTGAAGTGATCATCCACTAGGAGTCCTAGGTCCCTCTCACAGTTACTGTTTTTAAGCCAGGTTTCGCCCAGTCTGTACTGGTACCTTTGGTTTTTCCTGCCTAAATGTAAGACTTTACTTTTCTCCACTTTGGAACTCATTTTGTTGGACAGGGCCCATTATTCAAGTTTGTCAAGATGATTTTGGATCCTGAGTTTGTCTTCTGGGGCGTTGGCTACTCCTGCCAGCTTGGTGTCATCTGCAAATTTGATGAGTTCCTCTTCAATTCCCTCGTCTAAGTCGTTTATGAAGATATTGAAGAAGTATTAAGCTTATGTCTCCTTTACATGCTCTTTTCCTTCAAGAACAAAGGTGGGCATAAGTGACTTCAATGACAACCACCACAGCGATGGTCAATTACATAATCCTTGTGGAAAGTCTCCAGAAAGTCAAGTTCAAGTATTGGGCTATGGCCGGGGCAGCCTTTGGAGGCAACTAGATGCTTCGAAGGGCCCCAAACGCCGCACTCAGTTCTCTAACAAATGTGGCTCCTGTGACTTTCGGAGCTTGCCTCCCAGGGCAGAGGGCAGGGCACCCTCCGCCTCCACCCCGGTCCTTGCGGGGGTCCAGGGCTTTCCTCCACCCCCACCCCCTCCCCAGGGAGGCAGCTTCTCTTGCAAAGATTGTTCCCTGTCTCTTTTGGAAAGAGGTTCTACAAAGTGGAAATAGCTGAAATAGCCTACCCAACCTGCAATCACACACACACATACACACACCACACAGTTTTATAGAGAGACAGAAACACATATATCCACATACATACAATCACCCACACAATTATATATATTACATAATTATCATTATACACATAATTATGTTAATTATATATATATATCATATATGCATAGTTATACACACAACACACACATCCACAAATTATACACCCACATATTATATACGCACTCAGATATTGTGTATGTATATATACGGACACACATACACACAGTAATTATATATGATACATACATATTGTGCCCTCCATCTTTTTGTTATCATATTGATGTATTCTCATTTTCTTTTTCATTGTTTATTTTATTGTTCTATTATTTTACTCCTGTTTAGTTTTCACTTTTCACTTCGCCCACAGCAGTCCCGCGGCAAGTTAGGCGGCAAATAAATATAACAATTAAATAAACATAAGCACTCAAGAGGCATCACACACAATTGTGTACTATTCTTTGACAGCTTACTATAAAATTACTTTTTAGCGGGGGCCGTTTCCAGGGTCGGGCGGTTCCCCATGGAAGGCCCCAGAACCCGTCGACGTGATTTCTTTCCCCTCCTCGTTTAGCGACGAGCTCGGCCTCCCGCGCCCGGGCCCCTCCCCCCCCACTTCCTCCTCGACCTCTGACCCCGCGGACGCGCCCCCTCCCCCGGCGGCCGCGACAGTCCCGCCGCCCCCTCCGGACTCTCACCTGCTCGCGCCTCAACCGTCGCTCCCGCGCCGCCGCGAGTCTGCTTCCGGGTCGCGGGGGCGACGGCTTCAAGGCCCGCTGAGCGCGCGAAAGCACCGAGGCGACAGGGCGCTCTGGATTTCCGGCGGCCTCGCCTTCTCTACGGCCCTGGCGGCGTTCTAGGCGTCCGGAGGAGTCTCCGTGGCCTTTGGAGCCTGTCCAGTTTCTGCCCCAGGCCTGGTGAGGAGAAGGGGGGGCAGAAGGGGAGGGGCCGTCTCGATTAAAATGATTCTAAATGCAAAAGTCTAATTGGAAAGACGGGTGGACGGTGAAAAATGCTTTGTTTTTACCAATCTTCCCCATCAAGGCAGCTTTAAGATGGGTGGACTTCAACTCCCAGAATGCCCTAGCCATCTTAAAGTGGATGCGGGTGAGACACTGTGGCCTACACGAATAGCACAGCGAGGAGCGCGCTGCCCCTTTAAGGAGCTGTCACGTGACAGCCTTCTGGCAGGGGCGGCTTCTGCCCTTACCTGATCACGTGGTCGTAAGGCTCCCACAAGGCGGCCAATCGGAGCGCGGGGATCAGCGAGCCCTCCGCGCTGCTGCTGCTGCTGCTGCTGCTGGAGCTGCCCGGACGGGGCCGGAGGAGGGGCGGGTGAGTGGCGCCTCTTTCCGGGCCCCCCAACCCAAATTAATAATAATAATGATGATAAAGTTGGAAGGGACCTCCTTTGCGCCAGGATCGCGTTTCCCCTGGAAGGAGCCCCTGTTGCATTGGGGGGGGGGGGGTCTCCCCTCTCCAGCATTCAGTCTTTCATCCAGACTTTCTTTTCTTTCTCTCTTTCTCTCTCTTGTTGCTTTGCGTGTACACTGAGAGCTTGTCTGTCTAATCACACTTGGCCAATAAAGAATATTCTATTCTATTCTATTCTTTCTTTTTCTTTCTCTCCTTTCTCTTTCTTTTTCTTTCCTTTCTTTCTTTCTTTCTTTCCTTTCTTTCTCTCCTTCGCTCTCTCTTGTTCTTTCTCTCCTTCTACCTTTTTGTCTCCCCCTCTCTGTCTTTGGGATCCAGTGGCGTAGAAGGGTTTTTCCTCTGAAATGTACTGAGATGTGGAGCTGAGAAGTGTCCTCAGATTACAGCCATTTATTTAGTGACTCTTTGAAGTTACAGTGGCACTGGAAAAGGTCACTTACAACCAGTTCTTGTACTTGGGACCATTTCAGCATCCCCACCATCATGGGATCAAAATTTGGGCACTTGCGACTGGCGTGTCTTGACAACGGTCGCAGGGTCTCAGAATCCCTTGCTCGCCATTTGTGACCTTCCCATCCAGCTTCCAATAAGCAAAGTCAATTGGGGGGGGGAGGCGAATTTGCTCAACAGCCACAGTGATTCACCTAACAGCGAGGGCAAAAAAGGTCATAAAGTCAGATGTGACTCATTTAACGACTGCCTTCCTTAGCAATGATCCCAGTTATGATTGTCAGTTGAGGACTACCTGTACTGCGGTCGATTGTGGAGTCAGCCAGATGTTCTGACTAGATTTGGCATTTTTATCCATCTATCAAACCCTTCCCAAGGACTTGGAATAGGCAGATGTTGTGTGATTGTGTTAAAAGTATATTCATGGGATGGAAGCTTTCCTTTTCAGTCTTTGTGCATCTGTGAGAGGTAAACACCATTTCTTCCAGTAGTTCTGCAGCTCCTGGTTGCTCAGCCAAGGGCCCTGAGTGCTGTAGCCCATTGGTCACCAGATGTCCGGAACAGTGTAGCCAAGAATGAGAACTCTGCATCGTTTTGCATGAATCTGAGGATTATGTTGTGGCACCTAGCCAATCTTTCCCACAGAGTGATTTTGGGACCCCCTTAACAGGTTAGAAGGGACATTGTAGGTTATCTGGTCCAACACCCTGCTCAAGCAGGAAACCCTATAACATTTCAGACAATGGCTGTCCAGTCTCTTCTTTAAAAAAAAATCTCCAGTGTTGGAGCATTCACCGCTTCTGGAGGCAGGTTGTTCCACTGGTTAATTGTTCTCCCTGTCAGGAAGTTTCTCCTTAGTTCCAGGTTGCTTCTCTCCTTGATTAGTTTCCATCCATTGCTTCTTATCTTGCTTTCAGGTGCTTTGGAGAATAGTCTGACTCCCTCTTCTTTGTGGCAGCCCCTGAGATATTGGAACACTGCTATCATGTCCCCCCCCTCGTCCTTCTCTTCATTAAACTAGACATACCCAATTCCAGCAACCGTTCCTTATATGCTTTAGCCTCCAGTCCCCTAATCATCTTTGTTGCTCTTCTCTGCACTTTTTCCAATGTCTCAACATTTTTTTTGTAATGTGGTGATTGAAACTGGGCAGGCAGTTATTCCTGGTGTGGCCTTCCCAAGGCCTTTTTTAAAAAGCAGTTTCCTGCCTTTATTTTGTGTGACAGCTGTGGGGTTCCCCTCCTCCATCCCAGGGCCAACACCATGTCTGAACGGGAAGAACGGCGCTTTGTGGAAATCCCGCGAGAGTCGATCCGGCTGATGGCCGAAAGTGCGGGTGTGGAGCTGACCGATGAGGTGGCCGCTCTGCTGGCTGAAGACGTCTGCTACCGTCTGCGAGAAGCAACCCAGGTGAGGGACGCAGTCTAGGATGGAGTTGGTTTGGAAGGGACCTTGGAGCTGTGCAGGTAGTCCTCGATTTATGGCCGGCTGTTTAATGAACATTTGAAGTTACTGTCAAGACTGATTTACCTACATTTTCCCCTCACTCATAGCTTGACCAAAAAAAGGGAAGGGATTGTGGAATGGAATGAAAAGGTGCCCATCTCGCTGCAAGGCCATCTCCTAAAAGCCAGAAGGGAAGGGAAGATGGCACACCTCGGGGGGGGGAGGTGTCGTGACTATCGTAGCTTGGAGGATCGCTGCCCCCTCCCCTCCGGTTGGTGATTGCTTTCTGATTGCTCATCAGCAGACCTGGAAGCCAGGAGCTCATGAAGGGGCCACTGCGCAGTGCTTGACCCGGGAGCCTGTTCGGTGAGGGGCTGTGTGTTTACGTCCGACTCCTTCTTCCCCCTCTTCCTGTAGAACAGTTCCCAGTTCATGAAACACACCAAACGGCGGAAGCTGATGGTGGAAGATTTCAACCGGGCTCTCCGATGGAGCAACGTGGAAGTGAGTTGGGCCCCGGGGCGGGAGTGTTTCCATACAGACTCCAACTTGCATTCTGCCCTAGTCAGAGACACAGAGACAGATAGGTCTCAACTGACAACAGTTCGTTTAGTGACTATTTGAAGTTACAAGGCAGTGAAAAAAATTGAGCCTTTTTCACACAATTGTTGTAGCATCCCCCTGGTCACGTGATCAAAATTCAGCCGCTTGGCAACTGACTCACATTTATGACGGTTGCAGTGTTCCGGGCAGTGGTGGGGTTCAAATAATTTAACCAGTTCTCTGCCCTAATGACCGTTTCAAGTATAAGGAAATGATATACCGAAAGGTAGTTTATTATTTCATGCATTTAATACTTAAATAAGAACAATAATAAGAGAGATACACAAAACTAGATTATGAAAGAAGAAAGAGTAATAAGAAATTACCTCTGGGAAGCACCACCTAGCTTTCGCGTGAGTGACATGATCGAACCGTCTCCGTTTGGTTTCCGTCTCTCCTCTCTCTTGGACTTTTAGGGAAGGGCTTTTTTTTTCCCGCCTGGAAGGAAGTTGGACGAAAACCAGACGCGTTCCAGAAAAAACAGATTTATTATAACCGGTTCGCCAAACTCAACAAAAAATTAGGCATCGGTTCTGCCAAACCGGTGCAAACTGGCTGAATCCCACCACTGATCCGGGGGTGTGTGTGTCACACGATCCCCTTTTGTGACCTCCTGGCAAGCAAAGACAATGGGGAAGCCAAATGCACTTAACCACCATTTATTTATTTATTTATTTATTAATTTAATTTATATCCCGCCCTTCTCCTTACGGACTCAGGGCGGGATATAAATTAAATTACGGACTCATGTCCGTAACTTAACAACTGCAGTGAACAGCTGTGGCAAGAAAGGTCGTAAAATGGGGCAAAGTTCAGGTAACAACTGTCTCGCTTAGCAACCAAAATGGGCTCAGTTGTGGTTGTAGGTTGAGGCTACCTGTCTAGGCAGTAAAATCCCATCGATGCCAGGCTAACCAAGAGTCAGCTGGAGCAGGGCCTCCAACTCTGGCCGCTTTACGCCTCGTTGGCCGAGGAATCCTGGGTGTTGAAGTCCACAAGTCGTAAAGTGGCCCAGGCCGGAGACCCCCGAGGCGGAGCAGGGCTGAGTGTGGGGCTGTTGCTGTTGCAGGTGGTGTGTGGCCATGGCTCAGCGGACCCCCTTCCCTTCCGAGCCATTAAGGAAGGAGAACTCTTCTTCCAGGAAGACCGCGAAGTCAACCTGGTGGAGCTGGCGCTGGCCACCAGCACCCCCAAGGGCTGTGCGGAGACAGCCGTGAGAGGTAGGCCAGGGAGGAGGGGGCCCAGAGGCCACCAGGCCACTTCCTGACTGGGGAGCTGCCTTCCTGGGGTGGCTGGCCCTTGCCTTCCCCTGTGTCTTGTTTAGATCGCAGCTCCAGGTGTCTTTCGTTGGTTGGGCGTTTCAGGCCCCGGAACAGAAGGCTAGCAAAGTATCTCTGGGTTGTTGATAAATCCAGAAATCGTCGACTAACAAGCATTCATTTAGCGAATGTTCAGAGTTACCATTTAATTTTTTTATTAGTTTATCAGAATATAAAATACGAAGAAAATGAAAATAACTCTTCAGAGTTACAACTGAAAAAAGGGATAAGTGGTCCTCACACTTATCACCGTCGCAATCTTCCCCTGGTCAAATGATCAACATCTGGGCACTGGGCAACTGGCGTTTTTATGAATTTCCGACCCTCCCGGCCAGCTCCGGATAAGCGAAGTCAGCGGGGGGAAGCCGTTAATAACTGCAGGGATTTGCTTAGCGTGCTGGCTGGGGAGTTCTGGAAATTGAAGTCCGCCAGTCTTAAAGTTGCCAAGGTTGGACACCCCTGCTGTACAGTGAAAAGGCTTTGATGGGCCAGGGGTCCCCATCCCCTGCTGGGCTCTCTTTGAATGCGTCTCATCCAAGGATCAGACTTCTCCCCCCCCCCTCAGACGCTCAGAGGTTTTTATTAACCTTCCATTGGTTTTTGAGCAGCCTCCCAGCCACCGATTCTCTTTTTTCTTCCAGTTCACGTCTCTTACCTGGACGGGAAGGGCAACCTTGAGGCTCAAGGCTCAGGTAAGGACTGGTGATGCAGATTTGGTTGCATTTCTTGAAACAAGGCAGCACAATCCAGGATTGCGTATTTATTTTGCAAAGTCTGAATGACACAATTGTGATTTGTTTACTTCGTTCATCTGAGGTCAGCATATTGGACTGTTTCTCAACCTAGGCAACTTTAGGATGTTTGGACTTCAACTCCCAGAATTGGGCTCACTAGGGAATTCTGGGAGTTGAAGTCCACCCATTTTGAAACATAGTGGCTGAGGAATTCTGGGAATTCAAGCCCACCCATCTTAAAGCACGCTGGCTTGGGGAATTCTGGGAGTTGAAGTCCTCACATCCTAAAATTGCCTAGGTTGAAAAACTAGTGACCAGATGTATTAAATTGGCATATCTCAGGTGTGCAGTGAATGCTTTAGTGCACAAACGGAGAATCTGAGAATATTTCTTGGCAACTCCTTCTGAGAAGGGATGGGGGATCCTGTGAACTGTAATTCAACTGGTAGACTCTATTGGTTTCCCACCTTACCTTATCACTTCCTTTTTCGGGTTCCAAGACCACCTCTTCATTTCTGTTTCCAGTGCCCAGTGCCGTCTCCGTGCTGACAGACGACCTGTTGAAGTACTACCAGCATGTGACTCGAGCTGTACTGGGCGATGACCCTCAGCTGATGAAGGTGAGTCCGGAGAAGAAGCTCTGCTGATACGAGAGGACAGGATTCGGAGGCAAACAAAGGGATTTGCAGACGGGGGGCAAGGAAGAACCCTCAAATTGTTCCCTGTGGCTGATCCCACCTCTTACTGGGCAGCCATTCGGGGGAATCGCCCATGACATGTTCAGTTCTAGAAGAAATGTTGACCAACATCAATGAGATGGGATGGGATGGGATGGGATGGGATAGAATGGAATGGAATGGAATGGAATAGAATAGAATAGAATAGAATAGAATAGAATAGAATAGAATAGAATAGAATAGAATAGAATAGAATAGAATAGAATAGAATAGAATAGAATAGAATAGAATAGAGAATGGGTGAGAATGGAATGGAATGGAATGGAATAGAAATAGAATAGAAAATAGAATAGAAAATAGAATAGAAAATAGAATAGAACAGAATAGAATAGAATAGAATAGAACAGAATAGAAGCTGGAAGGGACCTTGGAGGTCTTCTAGTCCAGCCCCCTGCTCGAGCAGGAGAACCTATACCATTTCGGGACAAGTGACTGTCTGAGCTGAACCCTTCTCTCCCTTTCCTGCCTAGGTTGCTCTCCAGGATTTACAGACCAATTCAAAGATTGCGGCTCTCCTCCCTTACTTTGTCTACATCGTGAGTGGGGTGAGTGGAGAGGGCTTGGAGCAAGTCCTGCGTCATTCATTCATTCATTCATTCATTCATTCATTCATAAATTGCTTTTTCTCCATTCATGAGGAGCTGATTAATATCATTCACCATTTTAGTTAGCTCCACCTGCATATTTGGCGTTTATTTTTGCAGCATTGAAGACTAGAAATGATTCCTTTTCTATATATATAAAAAAGGAAGTTGAATTTAGCCACAAATAATGTTCTATTTTATAAAAAATTATAGGATGCAACCAGATATTCTGTAAGGATGGAGCGATGGGTGCTTAAAATGGAAAAGAGACTCTTTGCACAAAAAGAGAAAGTTAATCGGCTAATCTTTTACACTCGCTAGTGTGAGATTTAACTATTCTGGAAGATAAAGTATCTGATTCCAGATTATTTAGGCCCATTTACCTTGGAGGAAATAAATCAATAGCGCGCAACCTCCTTTGTTGTTACTTTTGTATTTAAATTGCTTTAAAGGTTCAATTATACCTGTTTTAACAACCAGATACAGCAGAAATGAATGCTGATTTTTTTTTTATTCCCCCTCCTACAAAACACATCTGGGAGAAAAATGCTAAATTCCTCTTGATCACCCTTGCAATGAATTTGATAAATAAATAATTAAGACGGTTTAATCTACTCCGATCCTCCCTGTCCTGTAGGGCAGAATTCCAAAGCATCATTTTGTGGTTTTATTTACTTATTTATTTATTAAATTTGTTTGCTACCCATTTCTCCACAAGGTGACTCTGGGTGGCTAACATTTTATAATGTGAAATAAAACTCAAGGGTTATTTAGTGATCAACCCGCGTTACGACCGTCACGAGTTATGACTGTGGGAGGCAGGCTCCATTATGCTCATAACACGAGGACTGCCACGGCCAAAACTCATGAGTAGAAACCATTGCATTTCATGGTTTATTAACTAAAGCTCTATTACAGAATACAGAGTTGGAAGGGACCTTGGAGGTCTTCTAGTCCAACCTTGATCCATTTTGGACAAATGGCTGTCCAGTCTCTTCTTAAAAAGCCTCCAGTGATGGAGCACCCTCAGCTTCTGGAGAAAAGCCGTTCCTCTGATTATGGTTTCACCCAACACATCAAGCAGAAGGACAGCCAGCCACATGATGGCATCAGAAGGGACCCAGGTCATGGTTTTCAGGCCGTTATCCTTCACACAACCTAATAGGAAGGACCACTTCAGGAAGGCTGGGGTCTGCCTTGGGTGAGATGTTTGCTCTCTGGCTTCCTCTGCAGGTCAAGTCGGTGAGCCACGACCTGGAGCAACTCAACCGCCTTCTGCATATGGCCAAGAGCCTCATCCAGAACCCCTACTTGTGCCTGGGGTCTTACGTCAAAAGCCTCATTGCCAGCGTCATGTACTGCGTCCTGGAGCCTTTGGCAGCCTCCATCAACCCCCTGAACGACCACTGGACCCTGCGCGACTACGCAGCTCTCCTCCTGGGCCAGATCTTCCGGTAATGTCTCCCAGACCTCTCCGGGCCTTGCCTCCCCCCCCCCGTCATATGAAACAAACAGGAGCTTTGCAGGCCAGAGTGGCTTCATTCAGTGGTCCCTGCCTCGGAGCCCCAGGCTCTTCATTGGTGGCCCAAGACCCCGGAGGCGGGAGGCATCAGTAGAATTAAAATCAAAACTGGAAGAGAATCTGATCAAAGTAACAGGAAATTTCTATAGGAGGAGATTCTCTGTAGCTCAGGGTTGACCTTGTTTTCATGTAGACGTTCCATTACCCAACTAGGTTATATCATCAGTGCTGGAAAGAGCTTGCAAACAATATGCTTTAAATTTCTTTCAACAATATGCCCACTATCATTGTCCTCAAGTCCATTCAACTCACTGTTATTTGTGGGGTCCTTGGTGCTCTCTCCACTCGGTTGTTTTTTTGCAGACGTTTCATTACCCAACTAGATAACTTCATCAGGGAGGGGTGTGTGCAGAGGGGGGGGAGGGAGGATGAAGACTGCTATGGGGCCCTTGGTGCTCTCTGAACTTGAATGTTTTAATCCAGACGTTTCATGACCCAACAGGGAAATATCAGTGTATGAAATTTTACAAGCAAATATGAATTTCGTTATCCTCCCTTTGGGGAGATTTCTTGGGCCAGGCGGAAGCTGTGGGTAACCTCCGATTGGTGTCAAGACTAAGGCTGGAGTCACACGTTACCCTGAGCCATAATTTGAAAAGGTGGCTTTTGATTCAGTATCTCATAACTTAAATGGCCCAAGGAATTCAGCTAGTGACAAATGCTGAAAGATGGGGGCTGTGCAAATCCACCCAGGGGAGATTTTAGCAATTTAAGGCAGTGATGCTTACAAATATATAGTCACGGCAATACTAGCACTGATGATGTTACCTAGTTTGGTGATGAAATGTCTTCAAGGCAATAGCCAAGCTAAGAGAGCACCAAGGACCCGCACCAAGGATCTGGGGAATTCTGGGGGTTGAAGTCCCCACGTCTTAAAGTGGCCAAGGTTGAGAAAACACAGCTGAGAAGGCTGGGCAATTGGGAAGCTGAGGAGGCCTCTTGGTGAGCCTGGCTGGGGAATTCTGGGAGCTGAACTCCACATCTCTTCAAGCCACCAAGTCGAGAAACCCTGGTTTAAGGCTGTGCGCCAATTCATTGGTAGAGAGGTCTCCAGCCATGATTGTTAGTTCAAAACAGATGACATTGCTTCAATTTTCTTTCCACTTTCCCAGGACCCACGGGGATCTGGTGAGCAGCTTGTACCATCAGATCCTCCTCACCCTCCAGAAGGTGCTGGCTGACCCCGTCCGCCCCCTCTGCTCACACTATGGGGCCGTGGTGGGGCTGCATGCCTTGGGGTGGGAGGTAAGTTGCAGCTTGCCCCATTTGTGGCTTCAGGGTGCCTCCCGATGCGTGCCGATCTCTTACGGCCTCTCCCCCTCAGGCGGTGCAGCGGGTCCTCTATCCCCACCTCTCGACCTACTGGTCCAACCTGCAGGTGGTGCTGGACGATTATTCGGTGTCCAACGCTCAGGTCAAGGCTGATGGACACAAGGTCTACGGGGCCATCCTGGTGAGTCTGTCCGGCACGGGGGCAACTCCAGCCAGAGGGTGAAGCCAAGTCCTGAACTTAGTGACCGTTCCAAGTCCTGATGGGCCTCTCTCTGGCACGGCGGCGACATCAGCCGGGGTGGGGGGGGGATTTCTAAGCAGGCAAGAACTGCAATATTTACAGGCAGTCCTTGACTTACGCCCGTTCGGTTAGTGACCCTTTGAAGTCCTGATGGGCCTCTCTCTGGCACAGCGGCAAATCCAGCCGGAGGGTTCTGAGAGGGTTAAGCCGAGAACTGCAGCTTTTACAGGTGGTCCTCAATTCCCAACATTTGGGACCAGAACTTCCCTTGCTCAGCCATACCAATTATTACGGGAGTCACCCCTGATTTTACAGCCTTTTTTTTTTTTTTTTTTTTGCTATGGCCATTATGCGAGTCTGGCTCCCCTCACTGGCTATCGGAAGCCAGCTGGGAAGGTTGTAAATGGCTCCCATGTGAGGCCAGGACACGGCAGCTGCCCTGAGGTGGCCGAGGGTCCAGTGTCCGAACACGTGACCCCAGGAATGCTGCAACTGTCATGCAGGAAGTCCGCTGCTGCTTGTGTGCTCGATCCAGGCAAGGGAAGGAAGGATGCATCCGTAAAAGGAATCGGCGGCCACTTTAAATTCTGACCAGCCCGAACCATATTTTTAACAGAACCGTAAAAAACTGGCTGCCTTGAGAATCGGTTACTGGAGTTAGATGATTGCATGTACTTCCCAACTTAAACCATTAGTTTGGA